TGAGTGTGAGTGTCAGCCGCCCGGGGCGAAGGAAAATTTCGGCCCCCTTATTTAGGTATTTCAATTTAAAAGACCAAAATTCAGTTTTGTCACAGAACAAGCAATGAAAAATTCGGTGGTAGTGCAGAGACCTGTTTAAAATAGTTCTATTGGATATTAGTGGTGCATATGAACGCGAATGAATCGTACAAGCAAGAAAAAAAAAGGTCAACAGGTCTCGCAGGATTTCCTTGGATAAAAAATTACTAGTTCACCCGGACGGCGAGCCGATTCCCGGACTGTCCGGACGATAGCACTATCGAAGGCGCAATGCAAGTATAGATTAGGATGTTTCAAATTTTTACAAGATATTATTATTTATTGTGAAATTTTGCCGCCCCCTAAAAAGTGCCGCCCGGGGCGGGCCGCCACTGCCGCCCCAGTACGGTACGCCACTGGGCATACCCTGTATACCAAATTTCAGCTTTCGATTCCTAACCGTATTTGGGCTCTGCGCTTATTATTATCAACCAATCTCGATTATAGTATAAGATTTATTAAATTGAATGTCTTATTTCTGAAATGCCTTGAATCACAAATAAATTGTTACTAAGTAAGGTTTTAAATCGAAATAATTAGATATGTTTTTAAATTAAATATTCAAAATAAATTTTGCGAGACTTCTTCCAAGGAACAAGGGGCGCACCGATTCGACTTGCTCCAGGACTCTGAATATGTAGCTACGCCACTGCCAAGAAGTCCAACCGTTCAGAGTCCTGCATGTCCTCCTCACTAGTGGCCAGAGCACCCAAACGATCTTGCATGGAATGCAAGATGGGGTTCAGTATTTCACCCTCAGCTAGGTCAATAATCTGAACCTGGGTAATAATGAAAGAATAGTGTTCACCAGCACCACGTTTGGAGTTGTGGTAACTAGTCAAATAGCCCNCTAATGTATTATTATTTATTGTGAAATTTTGCCGCCCCCTAAAAAGTGCCGCCCGGGGCGGGCCGCCACTGCCGCCCCAGTACGGTACGCCACTGGGCATACCCTGTATACCAAATTTCAGCTTTCGATTCCTAACCGTATTTGGGCTCTGCGCTTATTATTATCAACCAATCTCGATTATAGTATAAGATTTATTAAATTGAATGTCTTATTTCTGAAATGCCTTGAATCACAAATAAATTGTTACTAAGTAAGGTTTTAAATCGAAATAATTAGATATGTTTTTAAATTAAATATTCAAAATAAATTTTGCGAGACTTCTTCCAAGGAACAAGGGGCGCACAGATTCGACTTGCTCCAGGACTCTGAATATGTAGCTACGCCACTGCCAAGAAGTCCAACCGTTCAGAGTCCTGCATGTCCTCCTCACTAGTGGCCAGAGCACCCAAACGATCTTGCATGGAATGCAAGATGGGGTTCAGTATTTCACCCTCAGCTAGGTCAATAATCTGAACCTGGGTAATAATGAAAGAATAGTGTTCACCAGCACCACGTTTGGAGTTGTGGTAACTAGTCAAATAGCCCTTAAGTTCTTCAAAGAGCTTATTCGCCTCAGAACGAAATTTCAACACATAATTACGTATGACGTAATACAGTTCCGTAGCCATAATGGAGAAAATAACCAAAAAAATGGGCTGGCCTGTAAAAACCATAAAAAGACACTAAACTAGTGCACGTTTAAGCCGAAACAAACAAGTACACGTGAAGTCAGAAGGAAACTAGTGCCAAGTGATGTAAACCGCTCGTAAATGGTTGTGGTCCTTCCATAATCTTAAATCAGCATAAAAGTCCTTGAAGTTTCCGCTCGCGCCAAATGTTGGTCCGGTTACCACAGCAACTGGACTGTTGTTATGGCAACGGCTGTTAGACCGTTAAACTTTATAAGTGATGAAATTCTTAAAAGTTTATATCGCTTTAGTTAAAAAAAAAACTATTAACACTATATTATTGAAAACTAGGTACAGCTGAATAACTCTTCTTAACGATGGATATTAAAATTTATAATTAGCACCAAAATTAGGCCCGATGCGGCCCTCCAAAGCCCGCGTATGGTCAGCATAAAAATCCCACAAATCACAAAATATTGATCTCAGGACCCTAAGAATTCATTTAGTACTACTCACTGTCTGTTCTAGAAGAGATGTACCCTTCACTTCCAGTGGATCGGCCACTGAATTCCGGATGATCAGTCCCCAATAATCCGTAAGTTCAAACGTTCACAGCTCTCAAAATATTTGAGCCACGCTCAAAAAGATGACATCACTATAATCCTTAAACTTTGACAAATCCAACGATATATAATTTATCCACTATGACAAAAGAAATCCGCTGTAAAACACTAGAAAATCAAGAGCGCCCGCGCACACATATGTTCCCATCGAGATGGAACCGGCTGATCCATCTCACAGATTGTCAATAATCAGTATGTATTTGTGGCAGGAATCTGAAAATTCTTTACTTGTCGGAACCTGTAATATCTTAAATAATTGCGCCGATGCTGTACTAATTTTAACTATGCCAAGTAGCTTCAATAACTGCATTATGTCAGGTTGTGCAAATTGGGCAAGGATAGAAACGAGTACGAAGTCTGCAAGTATGAAGTTTATCTTCATAAACCTGATTATTAAAGCCAAACGAACTGCCGAATTATCGGGCTATAAGCTTGATACCGCTATTAAAGCAGCCGAAGTAGACAAATCAATACTACTTGAGAGCAAAATAAGTACTGCAACGCATCTCGAAAACGAACTGGAAATCTTCGACGCTACGGGTGAAAAAACACGTAACATTTGTCTTCTCTTAAATGCATTAACCCGCATCCATTGAATTGGAAAGAGCACTCTCAGTAGCGGGACTTTCCATTATTAAAATAATAACCAGATTGAGTGATTGGAGTATTGACCATCTTTGGTTTTCAAAATCTTATAAAAATTTACAATAATATTTTGTATTATGTTTTATTTAAAAAACGAAAATTACCTTCTAACAAGTAAGTTAGAAGTTTGATCTAAGTTCATTTTTTATTTTAATTTTCAACTCAATTCTGTAAGCAGTTTCCAACAAACTTTATTAAATTTCTACATAATTCAAAGGCAATTTTAATGTATATTTTACAGAGCATTATTAATACAATTTTGGAGGCTGTAGAACGTATTAATTAAACTACTTTTAAAAAAATAATTATATCATTCGGATGTCAAGATATTTTTTTATATCTTAAAAATAATTAATTATACCCCGGAAAACAGTTCACTTTTTTCCCGAAATCCTGGGACAAGCAAAAGATCGGGAAAGGAGAAACCCTAGTGTGTAGCATATCATTTTTACAGTTCGTTTCACACATCTTGACCAAACAATACGCAGTAATCTGTTAGGGGTTCTAAGTTTTATAAAATTCAAGAGCCCGTTTCAATAATGCACAATGAACTTGTTACACATTAGACAATCTGTTCAGTAAGTAAACAGACTGGTCCTTGCTCCTGCGCATTTTCACAGCCGAAACATCCTTTAATCCAATTGTGGAAATCTGGCAACCTTACATGCTACAAACGTAAATATTGGAAAGGGGCTATCCATAAATGACGTCCACACTGGGAGCCTCCCTCCCATTGTGGCTGTCATTTATGGACTGTTATTAGAGGGTTAATCTCTGAATATTGGACTGAACTTCAAATAATTGGTTGAATGGATCCGCGATAATTCTCTACAACCTGACAGTGTGAAGTTATAGGAAAGTTGAGAAATTCTGATCCTAAAAAGAAAAAAAAAGGTCAACGGCTTTCTGTGCCCAATGTGAAAAGTGTATCTGTAATCTCTATACACAGTTTAGTCTCTACGGAGTGGCGCCACAATATCTCGCATCACCTGAAAATCTTACTAGGGCCTCCTCTGGTTCGGGCAGTGAAAAAAGTTCTCTTTCCAATTCGGCCCAGAGGAAAAACTGTTGGCCACCCCTGGTCCATATCTAGATTAAAGACGGTGAACTATATTAAAGAATGGTAAAAAAAACTATAATTGATTTGTTAATTTTTATTTAAGGCATTGCTAGAGTTTGATATTAATGTTACGAGAATGTGTGATTATTAAAGGAAGTTTCATATTTTGTGTGTGTTAAGTTATTGTCGATTCTTATGGAAATTTCATTTTAATGAACAATAATTTGAAATAATTCAATTTTGTGTCAAGTTGGCCTCTACTAGGCCCCCATAACAAAACTTTGGCTACGCCCATGATTACAAGTCGGACAAGGTGGAGGGGAGGGGGTAAACTTCAATGGACATCCGTTTTATTTTATTAAATTTTATACAGTATCATTTTATAAATAATAAAATGCATAAAGGTTTTGAGGGGACTGAGTTTTGTTGTACGTCTGAAGAAGGGAGGAGGTTACGAAAACTTGGACACACTAGGACAATGGGGGAGGGGAGTAAAAATTTCAAGAAAAATGCGAACAATTATGGATAGCCCCAAAGTTAAAAAACTTCATGGTATGGCTGTATTTTATTTTATGCACGAACGCTAGGAAATGGTTATCCGTGATTAACACGTGCTCGGCATTTCTAAATTTCCTTTCACAACCGGTTTAAATATTTCAATAATCAGAACCACAAAATACTTCATCGAAAAAACATCCCCGCGTTTTTTTATGCAGCGAGTGTGTAGCGAAATGACGTCACGAGCAGTATTGGCCAATTAGAAACCAGTTTCAGTGTGTTCGCTGTAAAGCGCTTCTCGAGCGCTGCATAAAAAAACGCGAGGCATCCGTTCGCAAACATCGATTTTAGATATAATCTTTCTGAATGTTATATACAGTACAATTGACTTATAAATTAGCCTATTGTGTAGACGTTATTGGTTAAAACTCTGAACAGATATGAACGTGTTTCGGTACCAATCCTTGAAAAATTCGACACTTTTCAGAATTTGCCATCGTATTTAGAACAATTATGATTGTGTAAAATCGTATATAGACTACAAAAATAAGTAAATTATTCATAAACACAATGACAAGTGTTGAAAACATTGCACTTTTATTGGAATGAATAAACATATGGAGGTTACAGTTTTATAACAATATTTCAATTTGTCTTTACCATACAAATCAATAGAGAAACAAAGCACCGAGTTTCACATAACACATTATAAATCCTTGCATAGCTACAAAAGCTAAATCCCGTTCAAAAATGAACTTTTAATACATTTTAGTGTGAGCATACATTACCGGCATGCTAGTATTGAGAAGTTTAAATGGTGCGTGCAGTAAAAGCGGTCTGATAAGCAATTAAACTGCACATGTCGTCCTTAAGGTGTTTTTCTATTCATTATGCTAATTAACTTTTTCTGCATACATACCCACCTACATTCAATTGGATGACGAGCTGACCACATGAAAGTCTAATTCAAGTGGTTTTGGAGTTGGGAAACAGCTACATGTTGAAAATTTAACTGCGACACAACACTGCAGAAAGATTTTCAGGTGATGAAATTTTTGGAATGATAATCAGCTTCACAATTAGCATTTTATATCACCGAGCTTCAAAATGGGTGTCGTGGTTTGAACACAACCATCTATTAAGCAGCATAGGCAATGTCATTGTGCCAATGCTAAAATTGCATAAGCCCAATGGTATTGACACCCAGTGGTTCAGTAAATGTTTTTATATATCACAGTAATAAGCACATGCATCCTTCTGATTCGTCTTTTTGTTCCTTTGGTGGTTCTTGGGGCTTCAAGGGAATAGCTAATACAAGTTAAGGATCAAACCAAACAGGAGTGATAATATATGCTATTTTGCAAACATTTCACAAAAGTAACTCAAATTAATTATATAATTTTCATATTCTTCTTACTTATTCAAAATCAAGTCATTTTATATTCATAGTTTCTGAATAATCTGAAAACGTTTTTGGTGTTTTACAAATAAAAAAAAAGTTATAAAATTTTTAATGATTATTTCAATTATAGAAATTTGATTACAATATTAATTTGCAAATAAAACATTGTTCAAATTCTATATAAAGTATAAATTATTAGAAAGACCTGAAAATATATATTAAAGTTTCCTTTATTAAAACAAATTGATTCTTTTTTTAATAAATAAATCAACATTTTTTAGAAAAATTTTAAAAGAAAAAAGTATAAATTTTAACAAAATTTCATATCAAGAATTTTCAAAATTTATGCAATAATAAGAAAAGATTCAAATTTTTTTATATATATAATATAAAAAATAAAAATTTCAACTTTATTATTATGTAATAGTTTTGGATCATACTTTTCTATTCAATTTACAAATTATATATCTATGTCAGTTTCTCAACAATCCATTTAATTTTCAAATGTAATGTTAACTCCTCAGTAAATCATGCACAATTACAATATATCTATAAATATTTCTAGATTTAAGTACTGTAATTTGAGATCTTAAATATGAAATATTTGAATTTTAAATATATAAACTTAAATGCTTTCAAATTATAAAGTATTTTACCATAATAATAATAATTTAATTTAAATCTAGATGTATTTAAACATCTATTGAATTTTAGTTCCATAGATTTTAAACAATATCTTTTATTTTGTTGTTTTTATATAGAATTATTACAACAGAAAACTAAGTTAACAATAAATGAGAAATTAAAATTTTAAAAGTATATGCAACAATAAGATTCATCAATGCATTCTGGGTAACATTAAATTATAAATTTGATATGCACATACAAACAATATGATGCACATAATGTATTAGTATAAAAAGTTTAGATGGATATTATAGCTAATGATCATTTTAAAAACTCAACTGCAATTATATGAACTTAATATAGAAAAGTAGTATATACCTAATATAGAAAAGTAATTATGATTACTTTTAAGTTTCATTTTTATTGAATTTATAGAAAATTGCTTCTTAAGTATTGCTAAATTAAGCAATACTTAAGAAGCAAACAAGTATAAAAACTTAAAATGAAAATATATTAAAAAAATTAAGAGAAAATATTGAAAGACAAATGAACTTTACATATAGTGAATGACTCCTTAATTTAAATCAGAAGTAAGAAAACACTATTAAACAAGTCTGAAAGTTATACATATTAGGATTAAAATCCAGAAATTATTTCAGAATTTGAACTAGAACATTGGATTGGATTAGGGTGACAATATGTCCCAGTTTACCTGAGGTTCTCCAGTAGAGAATATAAATAAATAAAAGTTTCACTTCTAAAAAAAAACCACTTATTTTTTTGGAACATTTATTTTATATGGCTTGGATACTTTAGTAAATCTTATAAGATGTTGCTAGACATTATTCAATCAATCTCAAATTTGATCTCACGATTTCTGAGTATTTCCTGCTTTAAAGTAGAATTATTAGGAATAAAATTCAAAGTTAATTATGAATTAAAGAAACTAGTGGTAACTTAAAAACTGATCTTTAATGTAAGATGAAAGTCAAATAATGCATCAAATATATGTGTTAAAAATAACTTTATTCCTGTCCTCTATTACCACTATCATGAAGTCAGTTTTTACTATAGCATGAGTAAACTGAAATCAAAAAGTTTAAATCGGGTCGCAAACTGGTTGCCCATATCTGGCCTGCAGCCTCGATGATTTATTTTCTAAAAATCAATGTTTCTAACATTTTGTGGGTACTAAGAGAAAAATTCAAACTTTTTAACAGTTTACATAAACTGTACAGACCTGGTAACATAAGGGCTTTTTCAGTCTTTTTTTTTAGTTTATGGCATGATTTGATTTATCAAATAATAATGAAAATGGCCAGTGTCTGATATACATCTATTTGACTGACCCTTTGCTGTATTTGTGTTTGCAATCCCTGTTTAAATGCTTATTTCACATCAAACTTCTTATATTATTTGATAAGAACTGCTCCAATACAATTTCTTATATTTAATTCTAACACTTTAATGTTTTCTTTATATCCAAATTATTAAGATTAGCTTAAATTCTTGAGACTAAGATGAAGATCGAAGTATCTGTTTTGAATAATATAGTGTATTACAGAGATAATTATAAAAAATATTTGCGTATGTTATAATAGATTTAAATTCTTGAATTTAGGATTTAATGACTGCAGCATACTGCAAATTTATGTTAATTTCTTATATATCATATTTCTCATATTTCTATACTTCATAAAGCATTGTAAATAGATTAAGAAAAGTTGCATTTTTTTTCAATGTCACTATTTAAATTTGTATATAACCAATCCAAACCTAAAACTAAGATAAATTGAATACTTTTATATTTCAAATTATTACATTCAAATGGCACTAATATAAAATGTGAATTGCTTGCTGCTGCTGTTCTGTTCTTGCATTGACAAATATTAGAAAATGTGACACTATATGCAAGAAATTATATAGATTAAAAAATTGTTACTTAAATTTTTATTATTAGAAAAAAACCCAAACATAAAAATCTATTGTCAATATCAAAGAGAATAGATAACACATTGTTGCATCATTATCTATTAGTAAATAACAAATATTAGATATTGAATTTTTAAAACCCATCTTTTACAAAACTTGTGGCAAACATGATATAAATCAATAACTATAAAAAATAGCAACGAATTGAACCTTAAAAGAAATCCCAGGATAATCTATTGTAAATTTTAACATTTTCGATCTTCAAAGGAGATCTTCCTCAGGATTCTTGAAATTGGAATGTGGAAATGGAACATTTTAAAGAATTATTTAAAAAACATATATATAGATCCCATCAAATGTAAATTAAAAAATATGTGATTTTAATAACTANTTTAAATTGATTAAATCTACTTTAAACCTCTCGAAAATAATTTTTTAATTTGACTGTTTCCTTTGGTATATGATCTTGAGTACCACACTTTGATCTCTCAAAGTAAGGCTGGCTGAACACAAGTATGATATCAATAAAGGAAAATACAACACTGCCCTAGCCAGGTATGCCTCAGACAACAAAATTCAAGCCCACCTAGACCAAGCTTCCATGTTAAGACGATCTAAACATGACGACCAAATAAGGACACTGGAAGCTCTCGAAATATTCAAATCTGTAAAGAGCAGCTGTTGCATTAATTTCAAAAAGGAAGGACAAGTATCTTATGCCTGGAAATCCTTATACCAAAGGAAATAGTTGAATTAAAAAATTGTTTTGGAGAGATTTAAATTTGATTTAATCAATTTAAATTATTTTAAAAATTTTTAAGAGAATTAGTTTAAAAATTCTTGTTTATACATTTTGTTTCTTTTAAAATAATTCTTAAAAATGTTCCATTTCTGCATTCCAGTTTAAAGAATCCTGAGGAAGATCTTCTTTGAAAATCGAAAACATTAGAATTTACAATAGATTATCCTGGAATTTCTTTTAAAGTTCAATTCGTTGTTATTTTGTAAGATATATTCCAGGCTTGCAAAGTTTGAAACTATAAAAAACATCACCATATTGTATTTTTTTAACAAAAAATTTTGTTATAATTCATTAAACATAGTCAAAATAATTATAAATTTTTTGTACTAGTACTTGTAAACATAACATATATAAATATGTTCTTTTACAACAATCTTTCAGAAGAATAAACAGTTATAATTAGTTTATGAAAACTTAGCATTTTGAAAATAAAAATTTTCAAAGTTAGTAAAGACAAAAATTATGCAGATGATAACTCATTAATGCTTTACAGACATTTGCTTTTTATGGCACTTGTTAAAAAATGATTTTTGCAGACAAAGTATAATTATTATAGTAATTTTTCAATCAACTATTAACATTTTACTATTTATATTAATATGTAATAAGTAATCCTTAAGTTAGCTTACACATAAACAAATCAGTATCTTAGTTTTATTGGTAAACTTAAGTCAAATTTTCAGGCTCTATTTATGATATTTTCATTTAAACAGCATTAGAATTTGATCTGAAGATAATCAAAGAAAGATTTATTTAATTATAGGTAGTCCTTAAATCAAGTGGACATAACACATTCCTAAAAATATGTGAAAAAGTTGAATGTCTGCAAGTTGAGCAATTGTGTTGCATGTTATAAAGAGAATTCATTTCCAGATCCCTAAAAGAGAAAACTAAAATTTTTGAATAATTTGGGAAGAGTTTAGTTTTACACAGTGAATATAAATGTGTATTACAATGCATAAAAATTGTTTTAAATGTTAAAACCATAGATTAAGCAGAAAACGAAATTTCACAAATGATTTTGCTGTTATCAAAAACTAACAAAGTGCCACCACATAATAATGCAAAATTGTTGTATTTATTTGTCTGCTGAAAAAATATACAAGTAGTGCAAATTTTGACATACAAAACTCAAATTAAAGATATTAAAATATCATGTATGAAAGGGCAAGCTGTCTAAAAGTTGAGGATCACTTATACTACATTTATATAATTTCAAAATTTGATATACAGTTATGTTAAATTGAAGCATGTATATGATAATTAATGTATGTAATAAACTGACAATATTACCCAAGGTTTAAAATTAAAAGATGTTAAAAATTGATCTTAATTTCTGGTAAAATTAATTGTATTTTAAAAATATGTTTATGATATATGTTATATATCAATTCATAAATGATAGGTCAGATTCTTACATTAAATTTAAAGAACTGAAAATATATTATGATTTCTATACTTCAAGAACAGCAGCAGCTTGGACAGAGATTACTTTCGTTTTCAAGTTCAGGTTGTTCACCAAAGGCATAAGTAAAATGTCCTACA